TGCACTGAGATGGGCACGATGGAGGACAGAGCTGTCCCCCTGTGTGCCAAGAGTGCTGATGGGACCAAAACTCATCATTCCCAAATGTCCAAGAGGTACCAGGGACCGGGGAGAAGCAGGAGCTGCACAGAKCCCAGGAAGGTCCAGCCTGTGAATCCCAAATTCTTCCAAAAACCCTGCTTTGGGCTCAGGGGATGAGCTCACCTTGTTCCTGCTGGGAACCATCGGGTGATGCTCTGCTGTCCCCAAAACAGCTCCCTGGGGAGCAGCAAACCTCAGAAAACAGAAAAGCACAGCTTTCCTCCCCGAGAATAGAAGGGGGCTGTGACAGCCCCGGCCCAGAGCACGGTGCGGGTGGGATGGGGGAGCTGCAGCATCATCCTGTGAGCTGGTGGGGTAAAAATCCATGGGAAAGGTTTCTTCAGGTACAAATCCTGACCTGGATCAATGCTGCCATGTGTTCATCTGCCCAGGAGAGCAGCAAGGGAGGGGAAAGGGCTCCTATGAAGGAAGCAGGGACGGGTGATATGGATTTATCCCGAAATTGCAGAGATAACCCCGAGGTCCTCGCCTTTACCTCAGCTCTGGATCAGCCGGGCTCGCACAGGTCCTGCCCCATCAGCGCTCTGGAAGGGCTCCAGGGGACAGATTTATTTGTGGGATCCCAGGAAGGGCTGGGGAAACCTCAGCGAGGTGCTGAAACCCAGGAGTCACCCCTGGTTCGGTGATATATTTAGAGCGGGATAATGTAAGCGACAGGAGGGGGAAAAAAATAAAAAATAAATTAAAAAAAAAATCCGTGGAGGAGGTGCAGATCCGTCCCCTTGGCCAGGAGTTACTGGATGATCYGAGCCAGGGAACAGATAGTTGGATTTCCCTTCTTTCTCCCTTCAAATAAATCACARCTCCAGAGGCCTTTAAACTCTGCAACATGATCTGTTCCAATAAGGAAGGGAATGAAAGGCTGCGTCTCTCTGGAAGCCTTCAGAGCCATAAATCTCCTATGTACAAACACAGACCAGATTTCCAAGTGCATTTATTTTATTGTATTGTTTTAACAGAAAAATCAAACTGCCATAAAGCCCGTCCCTCATTAGCTGTCTCCGTACCAGGGCCAAACGCTGCTAACGAATAAAATCAGGACAAAGGAATGTGGCTGTGGGTCCAAGGCCTGGCTGACCCCCCAAAAGGCACTTCCCCCTCAGCCCCACGGAGGTGTGGGATGAGGGAGTCAGGGGATGTTTTTTACACTGCCCATTGTGCAGATTTGTTGGGGTTTTCACCCCAAATCCCTGACCCCAGCACAGCAGCTGCAGTTCCATTGAAGGATTTCTTGCTTCAGTTTGCTGTTCCCTGATGCACACCCCAATCAGGACCCCAAAGAGCGGAGGGAACACAAAACAACCCTGGTAGTGCCCCCCTGCCCCTATGAGATCCCCATGAGCTGCAGAATTAGCGCTGAACTCACCAAACCCCGGACTGGCAGTGGGGGCAGTTCTGGGGTTTTTGGTCATTAATCATCCCCTGACAGCTCTGCGGGGTCTGGTGGCTCTGGGGAAGGACAGAGAGCTCAGGGACAGGGACGTGCCCACCATGGGCAGTGGGATTCCCATATCAGCACCCAGAATTTCACCCAAACCCCCAGAGCTGCCCAGGGACACCCGAGGAGGGCACAGACTGCGAGCGGGGCTGTCACATCCCGGGTGTCACATCCCGAGTGTCCCATCCCGAGTGTCCCATCCCGGGTGTCCCATCCCGAGTGTCCCATCCCGAGTGTCACATCCCGGGTGTCACATCCCCAGTGCCACATCCCGAGTGTCCCATCCCGGGTGCCACAACCCGAGTGTCCCATCCCGAGTGTCACACCCCGAGTGTCCCATCCCCAGTGTCCCATCCCCAGTGACCCATCCCGGGTGTCACATCCCGGGTGTCACATCCCGAGTGTCCCATCCCGAATGTCACATCCCCAGTGTCCCATCCCGGGTGTCCCATCCCGGGTGTCCCATCCCGAGTGTCCCATCCCGAGTGTCCCATCCCCAGTGTCACATCCCGAGTGTCACATCCCGAGTGCCACATCCCCAGTGTCACATCCCCAATGTCCCATCCCGGGTGCCACATCCCGGGTGTCACATCCCGAGTGCCACATCCCGAGTGCCACATCCCGAGTGTCCCATCCCGGGTGTCCCATCCCGAGTGTCCCATCCCCAGTGTCACATCCTGAGTGTCCCATCCCCAGTGTCACATCCCCAGTGTCCCATCCTGAGTGTCCCATCCCCAGTGTCACATCCCCAGTGTCCCATCCCGAGTGTCCCATCCCGAGTGTCCCATTCTGAGTGTCACATCCCGGGTGTCCCATCCCGAGTGTCACATCCCGAGTGTCCCATCCCGAATCCCACATTTCGAGTGTCCCATCCCGAGTGCCACATCCCGGCTGTCACACCCCGGGTGTCACACCCCGAGCACGGGAGATGCAGCGCCTCGCTCTGCTGCAGGGAAAAAGCCAAACCTCCATCCCGAGCGGGCTGGGAAGGAAGCAGGAGCCTGTCCGCAGGATTTATGGCAGCGAGCCGCAGAGCCCCGAGCAGCGCCCGCCCCGCGCGGGTCCCGCCTCAGCCCACGGAGAAATTCCTGACTTATTGAATCACATTTGTCATCCCTAAATACATATGCAGGCCCGTGTTTCTGAATCCATAAACATCTTTAACTAACTCGGCTCGGCGAGGCCTCTTTCAGCAGTAATTTATATTTAACTTTTTCCATATGCGGGGCCTGTCGCTTTGGTGTCATTTCCGGGAATTTGGGGGGTTTTGGGGGGCGCGGGGGGAGCTTGGCGTGTCTTGGCCCCGCTGGAGCAGCCCAGCTGCTGGCACGGCGCGAGAAATCCACCCGGCACAGCAACAGCGCTCATTAATCATCTGAACTACTAAACTGCCAGCTCCTTTCAAGATCTTTCAAGAAGTGTTTTCACCCAAAATAGAGTTGAAAACGCGCCGGGCCCTACTTTCAGAGTCTCATCCATCTGGCCATTATGGGGAGTGTCAGGCGGCTCTGACAGACAAGGCTGCTCTGTTCGAGGGGCCCCGGCCCCACAACCTGTCATATCGCGGGGCTGATGGCATCTGACAGCTCCGTTTGTACCTCCCGGGAGATGAAAGGGCTGTTCCCGGCGGCAGGAGAGGGGCACGGGCACAGGGATGAGCAGGGGCAGCGTCCCGGGCACCGCACAGAGATCCCCGGGGTGGCACTGGAGACGGGGGCTGTGACAAAATCCAAGGGCTGTGACAAAATCCGGGAGCTGTGACAAAATCCGGGGGCTGTGACAAAATCTGGGGGCTGTGCCCACTGCCTGCCCTGTGCCCGGAGCTGCCAGCCCTGCCCTGGTCCCCATCCCCCCCAAACTCACCTGGAGCATTGCTGGCACACCCCCAGTGCCCAGAGCAGACCCCAAATCCAGCACTCGGTGCCCCGAGAGCTTCCCCTGAGGTCGGGAGGGCTCAGGGTCTGCCACACACCCGGACATTCCAAATGCTGGTGAGGGGCTGGGGTGTCCTGGTGCTCCCTTTGGGGTGTCCTAATGGTCCCCTTTGGGGTGTCCTGGTGCTCCCCTTTGGGGTGTCCTGGTGCTCCCCTTTGGGGTGTTCTGGTGTTCCCTTTGGGGTGTCCTGGTGCTCCCCTTGGGGTGTCCTGGTGCTCCCTTTGGGGTGTCCTGGAGCTCCCTTTGGGGTGTCCTGGTGCTCCCTTTGGGGTGTCCTGGAGCTCCCTTTGGGGTGTCCTGGTTCTCCCTTTGGGGTGTCCTGGTGCTCCCTTTGGGGTGTCCCTGCCCAGGAACCCCCCAGGACTGCCCAGGGCTGCAGGATTTCTGGGGACACAGCACATCCCAGCACATCCCAGCACATCCCTGCACCCCCAGACTGGCACCGCGCATGCCCAGCCAGCCCCATCCACCCCAGTGCTCCCAGTACAGAACTCAGACTCAGACACTGTGGGAGCCCCAGAAGCAATGAAGAGCTTTTGGCCCCATTTCCATTTTGTCCAGAACACGGCTCTTGTCACCTCTGAGCAGAGCTGCCCTGCTCCAGCCCGTTGGATGTGACCGAGACCGTGCAGGGAACTGGAACAAAACCCCACAAAGGCAGCGCTGCTCCAGCAGGAACCAGGAGTCACTTGGGTGGCAGTTCTGCCTTTGTGCTGTCCTCGGTGATGTGCAGCCCCATCCTTCTCATCCACACAGAAAAACACAGCGAATCTTTTGAGCGCCTCGCTCTCCCCTCTCCTCCCTCCCCAGCAAAGAGAAGATGGTGAAGGTTCAGCAGGAAAGATCCAGAACATCTTTAACAGCCTCCATCTCTCTCGGAGCCCCCCAGACCCTTCTCCTGCTCATGGAGAGGTGGCGCGGGGACCTCAGGCTCTCGCTGGTCCCTTTTCCTTTGGTGCAGCAGAATTTCCTCCATGGATGCACCGGTGGAGATGCAGGGGTTGCTGCAGCGGGCACCAAGTGCTGCAGGGAGCCGCCCTTTGCAGGTGTAGGGGACAAAAAAAAGCCATTTGTGTTCTGTGTCCACTGAGGTGTCTGCACGAGGGGTCCCCAAAGCCATTGGATTCCCAGGATGCTGCGTGTCCTTCACCTGCTTCCGAATCCTGCCAGGCCAGGAGGGGCAATCCATGAATTTTGGAACCACAAGGTGTTGGCAGAGGTCAACCCCCATTGTCCAGTGCAGCTGTGCTCTGCCATCAGGGTCASCTCTGRTGGCACAGGGTSASCTCTGRYGGCACAGGGTCAG